AGAAGAAAATTTTTTGGTCGCTACCCGGAATCGAACCCGGGACCTTTGAATGAGAGGCCAACACCTTAACCTCTAGGCCACGAGAGCCCCCTTCAACTCTCCGCCGAAACATTCTCAGCCTCTCGGGAATCATACAAAGCAAGCAACTGATTAAACACTCAAACACTAACGAACGTACAACATCTTTCACTGTCTATAGTCTATAGCTGGGTACCCATTTCCATCTGGGTGAAACGAGGACAATTCGTGTAAAGTGCCATTTTCAGAGACCCATCGTCAGGCCCCAAACGGAGTTCGAACCCACGACCTTACAGTTGCAAGTCTGAGAGACTAAACTCAAGGCCACCGACGCCACCGTACATATTATATTCGATTTGCGTAGCGAACTTCGCAAAAAGATCTCAAGTTTGTAGAGCATAATAATCATTGCACAAGTAACAACATTAATATGGGCAAATGTATCATTCAGAAATTTAAAGACCGGATCACGAATTGTATCACGAATGGATCACCCATTTCGATAAGTAATGTACTCTTGTTTTGACTTTTTTTCAGATACGTCCTACAAACCCCTTCATATCTAAATCAAGCCGAAGAACACCTCCGCCAATGATTCTGTTAACACATGATTTGGTGAGTACTTATTATAAGGACTACATAAAAGGTGAGGGGGAAGGGGGGGTAATCAGCAATCAAGATAATAAGATAATTAGGTAATACTTTATTGTCCAAGAGAAAAAATTTTCTTGGCTGTACAGAACCGGAAAAAACACAAGCAGGTATGCATACAAATTGACTTACACATTATTACTCTCATCAAAGGAAGATAATATTTGAAATTGTGAAGTTGTGTATTTTCTCTCGAGGTCTTGTGGACAACTTCTGATGAACGCTTTGCTCAGTTACATCGGAGCGCAGTTCACGTGAAGCGTAAGCTCCGCGTTCCCTCATCATTATTACGAGAGAGAGAGACACACAGAGAGAGAGAGAGAGAGAGAGAGAGAGGGGAGAGAGAGAGAGAGAGAGACAGAGAGAGACAGAGAGACAGAGAGAGACAGAGAGACAGAGAGGGGG